TGTGGTGATTACAAGGGCACGGTAAACCCAGAGCTACAGGCTGAACAATATCCCTTACCCCGCAGCAAAGATATCTTTGCAAAGCTTGCTGGTGGACAGAAATTCTCAAAGATTGATCTTCGCCAGCCATACCACTAGCTAGAGATGGAAGAAGATTCCAGAAAATACCTCACCATCAACACACACACATGGGGTTGTTCCAGTACGATAGACTAGTGTTCGGCATCACTTCAGCACCCGCTATCTGGCAACGCACCATTGATCAATTGCTGGAAGGGACATCTGGCACAAGCTGTATACTTGATGACATGATTATCACTGGCAAGAGTGATGAAGAACACCTGGCTGACTTAGAAGAAGTCTTTGGACGGCTACAGTTTCATGGTTTGAGAGTTAGCAGGGCCAAGTGTGAGTTTTTCAAGGAGAAGATAACTTATTGTGGACATGATATTGACAAGAATGGCCTTCACACGTGAAGAGCAAAAGTAGAAGCGGTTTTGGAAGGACCACGCCCAAACGACGTAGCTGAAGTAAGATTATTTCTCGGGCTAATCAACTACTACTACAGGTTCTTACCTAACCTGTCGACAACCGTCCACTCCTTGACTCAGCTCTTGGGAAAGGACCACCAATGGAAGTGGATAGAGCAATGCGAGGCAGCATTCCACAAGGTGAAAGAAATGATCATTTCAGAGCAAGTTCTAACACATTATGATCCCAGTCTGCCACTTAGACTTGCTTGTGATGCATCCCCCGTAGGCACTGGAGCAGTGCTCTCTCGCGTGATTAACGATGGTACCGAGTGACTTATAGCTTTTGCTTCAAGGACACTGACAAAAACTGAGCAAAAGTATGCGCAGATTGACAAGGAAGCTTTGTCAATAATCTGGGGTGTCAAGAAGTTTCACATGTATCTGTTTGGCCGTTCTTTCACTCTATACACAGATCATCGGCCATTAACTTAAATCTTTCATCCGCGGAAGAGCATTCCCATAGCATAGTCACCATAGCACGTCTTCAACATTATGCCTTGTTCCTGGCGGGCTATGACTACTTCATTCAATACAAGAACACTAAGATTCACAGCAATGCAGAACACTAAGATTCACAGCAATGCAGATGGTCTTTCCCGCCTACCACTGGTAACGGAAGCCAAAGATGAAGAAGAGGTTGACCCAGTGGGTGTATTTAATTTGATGCAGTTTGACCCTTTGCCAGTCACAATGGACAACGCTAGACGAGAGACACAAAGAGATCCTGTCTTGGCCCAAGTGCATGAAATGACCAGGAAGGGATGGCCAAACAACCATGACCCTGTATTCAACCCCTATTTTGTTCCCAAAGATGAGATCATGTTACAATCTGGCTGTTTGATGTGGGGAATAAGAGTAATAGTACCCCCAAAACTACGCCCTCAAGTTCTCAAGGGAATTTATCAGGGACATATGGGAGTCGTGAAGATGAAGGCCCTGGCCCGAAGCTACACCTGGTGGCTTGGAATCGATAAAGAAATTGAACTGTCTGCTAAGTCCTGCCCAAGTTGCCAACTAGTACAGAGAGAGCCCAGTACAGTGCCAGTGCACTTATGGGAATGGCCTTCGTATCCCTGGCAACGAATTCATAACGATTTTGCAGGTCCCTTCCTTAACAGTATGTTTTTAGTGGTAGTGGATGCACATTCACGTTGGCTAGAGAAAGAGAAAATGAACACTACAACCTCAGCGAAAACCATTGAAACCCTTCAGAAGCTGTTTGCAACGAATTCATATCGATTTTGCAGGTCCCCTCCTTAACAGTATGTTTTTAGTGTTAGTGGATGCACATTTACGTTGGCTAGAGATAGAGAAAATGAACACTACAACTTCAGCGAAAACCATTGAAACCCTTCAGAAGTTGTTTGCAAGATATGGCGTACCAGCCTAGTTAGTGAGTGATAATGGGCCTCAGTTCACATCAGAAAGGTTCCAGCAATTCCTTAAGAGAAACGGCATAAAACGCATCACCTCAACACATTATCACCCTGCCACCAACGGCCTAGCAGAACGTGCTGTCCAGAGTTTCAAGAATGCCATGAAGAGTGAAACTGAAGTTACATCTTTGAACATTAAGTTGGCGAGATTTCTGCTAACTTATAGAAACACCCCCCACTCAACCGCCGGAGAGCCACCGTCCCAGTTGTTTTTGGGAAGAAGATTACGCACTCGACTGGACTTGTTAAAACCAGATCTCTTTATCCAGGTAAACAACCGTCAGATAGAGCAGTCTGTTGCCAAGAGTGGTTCTGTAACAAGGAATTTTTGCAATGGTCAGAGGGTGATAGCTCGAAATTACACTGGAAAGTCAAAGTGGGTACCCGGTATTGTCCGTGCACGATTGGGACCCCTGTCTTATGAAGTGGAGATTGGGCCTGACCTAGTTTGGCGTCGACACACGGATCAACTCCGAGATTCCAATGTTCCTGTTGCGGACAGACACCTGCCAGTTTCATACCCCTTGCCTTTTCCACTCCCAGCCGCGACCACTGATCACCCAGAAGCTGAATCACCTAAACAGACAGAAGTTGTCTCGAGGGAGACAGACTGCCAGTCACCAAAATGCAATCCAGTGGCTGATTCGTCCGTTAGCAGCTCACCGAGCCAGTTTGAACATGTTCCTGTTAGACGATACCCTTCCAGAGTGCGGAAACCCCCAGTTCGGATGGATCTTTGAACATTGAACTGCTTTTTTTCGGGGGAGGGGGAGTTTAAGAATGGATTTTTACTGATGGCATGTTGCGTTGAACTTTTGGAAACTTTTAAATTCTTAAGGACTTTAGGGGTCAAGAGACTGGCTTACAGGGGAGGTGTTGTAGTGTATGCGGTTGGTTCTTGTAAGCATGCGCACGTGTGCGCATTATTCATTTCATGTGCTTTTCGAAATAAAACCGAATACATGACAGCCACGTTCACATCAAAACATCAAAGGACAACATTATAAACACGAACCCTGAACTGTCCTCTCTGATCAACGAGGACACCTGTTCGACTTTAATGTCGTTCCTGAAAAGCAGAACAACATCTTTTCACAATAACATGAATGCCAGACATTCCAAGAAACTCGCTAGCTTGAACAGCATTGGTTCTCAAAAAGCTGACATTGACTAGAGTAACTGGGTTGTGAACCTCTCCAAGAAACCACTTTTACCAGAGGAACGATCCCTCTTGGAGAAAGGCCCTAAATTTGCCCCAACGCCAACTAACATACCTCATAAGAACATCCTGGCTGAAATTGAAGCTGCCATCTGCCACCTGCCTGATGATTCCAAAGATACAGTTAGAACAAGCTCTGCTGCCATTCTTCATAGGGGACGACTACCAGCACACAATAATGTTTCCAAAGAAGAAAGAAAAGCTTTAAACAACCTTAAGAAAGACCAGTCTAGAGTCGTAATGAAGGCCGAAAAGGGGAACCGTTTTGTTGTCATGGATAGATCTGACTATGACAGCAAGACGGAAACCTTACTCAACGACAGATCCACCTATGAAGTCGTTCCCACATCTCCTTTCCCCCGAATTGAACATGAACTGAACGCTCTGCTTCTTTCCCTAAAGAGACAGCTAAAGATAGATGAACTGACATACCGCAAAATTCACTAAACTGACGGCACTCCACCAGCGATTCGCGGTTCTGTTAAGCACGATAAAAAAGTGGACCCGCTGAGGCCCATCGTCACCTGCATTGGCTTAGCGCTCCACCACACGTGCAAATTTCTGATGGATATCCTTTCTCTGCTTCAGAATCGTAACAGATACTCTGTTACTGACTCTTTGCAGTTTTACAAAGAATTATCTGATATAGAGATATATGAAAATGAAGTTTTGGCCTCTTTTGATGTTTTCACTGTTCACCGCAATCCCTGTAGGTAAAGCATGTATGTATATAAAAAAATTTGACAAGATGCCACTCTTTCTTCAAAGACAAATTTGGACTTTGATGATATCACTACACTTCTTCAACTCACCTTGTCTAACACCTATTTTGTATTTAATGACAGAATTTACAAACAAGTCCATGGCTGTGCGATGGGCAATCCTCTCAGCCCCTTTGGGGCCAATCTTTGCAAGGAGGAGATCGAAGAGTCCGCAATCAATAATTCATCAGTTCCCGCCAAGATTCGGAAAAGGTACGTGGACGACAGTTTTTGCATGATTAGAAAGAACGATGCTTCAGCCTTCCATGACAGTTTAAATTCAATTGACACAAACATCTCGTTTACCATCCAGACCGAATGTAACGGAAAGATCTCCTTTCTCGACACTCTGGTCTTCCGGAGAAATGGAGTCAACGTTGTTGATGTTTACAGAAAGGCCATTCGTACAAACAGATATTTAGATTTTAATTCCCATCACGATAGACAACACAATGTCAGCACAGCATTAACTCTCCTGCACCACCCCACTGCACAGGGCTCTAAATCTACCCAATTCCTCCGATGGAAAAAAGCATGAACTTAATTGTGTCCATGCAGCTTTGGAGTCCAACGGCTATCCATTTAAGTTTATCAAAAACATACAGGATAGAAAAACTCGATCCTTAACAACAAATGTATCCCCAGAGGAACTTCTTGGAATGTTTTTCGAGATGATTGAAGCAANAGCCTGCTGATATCTATGAAGGCCACTTCTTGTATAAATGCAACCAGGAATTCTAAACTATGACCTCCCCTCTAAAAATTCTTAGCCCTGTCCCAGAGAGAGGTTACTCTGGAAAAGGAGTACTTCTGTATCAATAAGAGAGGAAAAGGAGAAAAACTAAGCCCTGGAATATTATAAGGTATCCACTTGTTTAACATACACTTTAACGACATTCTGCATTCAGTTCAAGCACGCCCACCCTGTGGGCAGGAAAAGCTGAGAGGCGACCAGCCTCTAATAAGATACACACAACATTGTTTGACAGTCAGCTATTTCGGTTTTGTGTGTCTAACTTTAGTTTTTGTTGATAGATCTGAGCGTGAAAAACTGAAACCTTTTCTTATCTTGTTTTACAGGGGACGTTAGGCCTCAATACTCATTGCCTTTGAACAGTTGGATTTTCATCTAAAGATCAATCAGTATAAAACTGAGGCTTTTATCTTTCTAAGGTAAGCTATCCGTGTGTAACAACTGACGCTTTATAAACTTTTCATTTTCCTGTTGATGTAATTTGCATAATATCGATTGCAGACAAAATAAGAAAAACCAGATGCGGTTAAAAAGCATCATGCTCTGACATGACGACATCTAAGGCCATTTGTTACATTATCATAAAGATTCTTTTTCTCCCCCTGGCAGGGAAAGTGACCTCAATCAGAAGATTTCAGTGAAGATCCTTTGTTCACTTTAATCGGTGAGTTTATTTAGAGCTGATACACTCAGTTTCATTTCCCTTGCGTTAGTTACGTGACAGCGTTACGAGCCCCTTAGTGGACAATCTGAGTAACGTACATGCATGTCACGGAGAGTTTTTAATTTTGATTTTTCTCGCTAAGGATCTAAAATTGGATTACTGATCTAGGATCGCGAAGATAGGTTACGAAAAGGCAGACAGCCAGTCCAAAAGATTTACCTGAGGGCGATTAGGTGTGAATATAAAGGAAAGGAGAGTCCACACCAAACGAGCAGCATATTTTAATCATGCTATAGTCGTAATTACAGTTATGACATCTGTGATAAAAACTAAAAAAAATACATTCATAAATGAAAGAAAATCTCAAACAGCGCGGTTTTGTGAAACATTTTTAACTCCACTCAGAATAGGAAATACATTCCAGCCGTTAAACTGCATACTATCAGCCCCAGTTAAAATGAATTCTTTCCTGCTACCTGCTAATCCGACCTCTTCAAAGTCAGCCATTTCATGTTGCGCTTTAGAGCTAACCCCTGAATGAGTCCAGGATTGAGTGTCGGAGAAACTGAAATCAAGTGAAACGGAGAAATAAATAAAAAAAGTTTTTTTCATCAGTCACTTGAAGGAAGGTTAGAAAAGAACGATGTAAAGAGATTTAACCAAATTTTTCGTTGCTCCATATCAGCAGATGTATTTTGGTTTTGGCTGATTGTGATCAGAAAAGCTCAGAAGTATTTTGGAACCCTAGAAAAGTGCTGCCAATTTTTATTTACATCGGCAGAAGTGCCAAAAGGCAACTTACATTGTATCATTTAGGAGGCGAAAGAAAGGAAAAATTATTTTCTTTCCTTTACGTCCTTTATGGTTGTCTTCCTTGGAAGGTAACAAATAAATTTCTATCAAGGCTGAGCTGTGCAAAGTTCTGTCTGACATCTTAGCGCAAAAATTGGCGGAATAACTTGACAGCAGAAAACCACTGGCCTAGAGATCAGATAAGATCTGGGAAGATTAATTCATCAATGTTCTACAACATTTGAAGCTATCGGCCTCAAGAAGTTTTCTGTTTTTTACTTTAAGAGTTTAAATAGCGTGCCAAAAATTGATGAAATACTAACCTTTGCGTTATTTGAAAGGTGAATTTCCTTATCATCAAGTAAATTAACGTACAGATTCTTTTTCTCCTATTGCCAGGAAAAACTGACCTCGATCTGAGGAGATTTGAGTCAAGAACCTTTGTTTACTTTAGTCGGTGGGTGTATTCAGAGCTGATATACTCAGTTTCAATTTCCTTGTGCGAGCCGCGTGACAGCGTTACTGTATGTTACGAAGAGTTTATTATTTTAGTTTATATCGCTAAGGATTAGATAGATAGACAGCCAGACCAAAAATTCTTTTAAGGGTGATCAGAAGCGGATATAAAGGAAAAGAGAGTCCATAGTAAACGAGCAGCATATCTCAATCATGTTCCGGTCGTAATTGCAGCAACGACATTTGTGATAAGAACTGGAAAAGACCTTATATATGAAAAGAAAATCAGACAGCGACGTCTTTTCAAACATTTTCAATTCCATTCAGAAGCAGAAATTTTTTCGACCCGTTAAATTGCATACTATCAGCTCCCGTCAAAATGAGTTCTTTTCAGTATCATTCTAATCCAACCTCTTCAAAGTGAATCATTGCATACTGTGCTGTAGAAGCAACCCCTGAATGTGTCTTGAATTCTATATTTGGTGTCGAAAAAGAGGAATTCAGGCGAAACAAGGGAATGGATTTTTTTTAACTTTTGTATTTCTGGAAGGAAAAGGTGTAAAGATATCTAGCCACATTTTTGGTTGCTCCATCCCAGTAGATGTATTTCGGTTTTATACGTCTAAGTTTGGTTGTTCATGACGGATCTGAGCGTGAAAACTGAAACCTATTTTTACCTTGTCACAACGCCATCTTACCAAACAAGCTTTGTAAAGAAAGGATTTATTATATAGCAAAAAGATTTCGCTTTAATAGGACTCAAGAATGACGTGTTGATTTAGAGAGCCGAAAAAGAAAGTCAACTGTGTTTGTAGCACAATAAACTCAAGAGGGTCGTTTATGTCTTCTTTATTTTGACTGTCTTATGGCGGTTTTTTGCGAATTTATTGCCAAGATTGTCCAAAGTTACAAATTTTGTGAGTCAGCTCGTCTTATTGCCCGAGCGGGCAATATGGACCCATCTTTCCCGCTTGAGTAGCCAATCAGAATACAGGATTCCGTGCATATATCTCCCACAGGCGCTGCCAGCCATGTTGTATAACATTTATAAACAGAACTGGAAAAAAAGATATATTTGTAAATGAAAAGAAAATTGCATGCAACCAGGTGATTTTAAACATTTTTAATTTCGTTCATAATAAGAAATGAATTCAACGTGTTAACTTGCACACTATCAACTCCCGTTAAAATGAATTCTCTCCAGCTACCTTCTGTGCTCCGACCTCTACTCCCCAAAGTCAGCCATCACATGTTTTACTTTCCAGTAAAACCCTGAGTGAGTCCCGAATTTGGTGTCGGAAAAACGAAATTCAAATAAAACGAAGGAATGAACAGATATATATATTTTTTCTATCACCGGAAGGAAGGTTGGCAAAGATATGGATGTTTAAAAAATCTAGCTAATATTTGCTTGGCTCCATCTCAGTAGACGTATTTCGGTTTTGCATGTCTAACTTTAGTTATTGATGATGGATCTGAATGTGAAAATCTAAAACCTTTTTTTATCTTGTTTTACAGCAGACGTTAGACCTCACTACTCATTGCCTTTGAACAGTTGAACAGATTTTCTTCTTCCCATTGCCAGGGAAAACTGAGTTCGATCAGGAGATTTGAGTCAAGAGTCTTTGCTTGTTTTAATCGGTGAGTTTATTTAGAGCTGATATGCTCAGTTTCACTTTCCCGTACAATGCGTGAAATGCGTAACACCGTAACGAACCCCCTCAAAAGACATTGCAGCTGTAACCTCCATGTGAAGAACAGCATCATGCTCTAACATGATGACATTACAAGCCATTTGTTACTCTTGTACCCTTTCACTCAGCAATTCTTCTTACTGTTTACCTATGATAAGCAGACTACACACAAAAAACC